GAATTGCTCAATGTATCGAATGAAATTGTTTTCTGGCCTCCTGAATTTTTTTGAAAAAACCTGAAAAATTTTAGGCGCTCACCTGAAAAACCTGGCAGGTATTTCGATTTTTTTACTCTCACCCCTGTACTCTATACTTCTGTCTGATCCAGACTTCCCAGATAGTCCGCATTTTGGAGTTTTTTCCGCAATTTGTCCGCATTTTGAGAATTGTCTGCTTTTGCTGTTTTTCCCCTGTTTACATATAACATTTAAAAAAAGAATGTCTATCTATCGAGGATTCTCTTTCTCATCCTATTGTTAAACCAACACCATCTCCAAACATGCATAAATTAGTTTCGTTTATATTTTCGATTCCGTGCAGTAATTCATACGTTGAAAGTGCATTTTCTTCCATGAAACATTTATTTAACCATAAAAGAAATCGTATGTCGACGGAAATAATTGCACCTGAGTTAAAAATTCGTTTAAACTCATCGTTATTATGCACTGAAATTTATAATTATTTCTTATCAACGCCAGATCTGCTTAAACTTATTCATTCTAATCAAAAATATACAGTCAAAAAACAACGTGTCAACTAAAATCGGAACTTACATTTCTGTTTGTTTTTCTCTTGTGTTTTATTGTGTTACAAAGTGCTAGAGAAAACATTTTTTTGACTCTGTGCCGGCAGAGTTGCCAGCTCAGGCGCCACAATCAATGCCAATACGGCGGAAAACCGCGTCGATTATGGCACTCCAGCTGGCAACTCTGTGATTGTGCGTGAAAACTAATGAAGTTAGACCATGAAAATGTGTTTCCGCTTTTTGTCCACATTCTGAGAAAAATTTTCTGCAAGTTTCCGCATTTTGTGATTTTTATTTTGCATTTCTGACCTGAGGATCTGGGAACTCTGGTCTGATCTATTAGTGTCATGAGAATTTCTTTGGCGCTCAGGCAACACTTTACTGAGACAAAAGAAAAGGTTGAACAGAACATTCTTCACGATGAAAAAATCAAAAATCGAGGAATGATTGGTATGCACTAATCGAAATCACGGTTAAGAGAACATTTAGTTTGTTTCGTTTTTTTTTTTTATCTAATGTGTGTTGTTGTTTTTAGTTCATAATTATAGTAATACATTTGTGTTATAAAAATACGATCTAATCTCGATCGTTGAACAGAAGAAGAAAAAAGAAGAAAAAGAACATTGTATATGAACTTGTACGTGAAATATACAATAAAAAGAAAAAAAAGAGAGCACCGTTCTTGTTAGATATATTTACAAACCGCATAAATTTCACATTCGGGTTAGATATGAACACACCAACAAAAAAAAAGAAAATAAAAAACATGCAACGTGCCGAAAGATAAGAAAAGGACAGAAGACATATTTTTGTTTTAAAAAAAAACACTGAATGACTGAGATTATTTAAATAAAAAAAAAAAAAAATGTTCACCAGAAACGGAAACGTGATTTTAAACGTATACTATCATCAGAATTAGGCTGCTGTTCAATTTCTTTAGGACGAATAAATCTTGGTAAAGATGATTTACGTGTAATAATAAAACGATGTTGATTCGTTGTTGTGTTAGTAGTTGATGTTGAATGACTGCCAGATGAATAAATACTTGAATTTAGAAGACTATTATTTATTGTTGAAGATGTTTTTAATATGGCCGATATTGAACGATCTACAACAGATTAAATTGATTTCACTATGAAATAGTTTTACTTTTATTGCCTTTTTATTTTTAAATCTTATGATACAATTAAAAACTTACTTAGTTTACTTGTTATTAATGGAAATGATTTATGAGTAAATGATCTTGATATGCTTAATTGGTATTGTGAACGATGTCGGAGTTGATGTTGTGCGAGATATTGTTGAGTTTTTATTGTTGCCAAACGTGTGTATAGAGGAATTTCAAGACCTATTATTATAAAAGATGATACAAACATCTTTTGTAATTAATTAGAATCTATTGTACCTTTGGAAAGATTTTCTTGAACTAGTGCTCGTTCATAAACAAATGCGTCTAACATCTGTATTTTATCCAATTGTGTTTTATGAGAAAATAAAAATGTTTTCAACTGTGTATGATCATGTAGACGCCATGTATATAAATTATTCAATAAATTGTCATTTTCTAAATAATTAAAGAGAAAAATATTTATTTTAAATGATGTTTATTATTTACTACCTTTGCCATCAAGATTTTCAATTTCACAATTATCTAAATCAGCACGACCATAATAGACCAGTGAATTTTTTTTGTCCTAAATATATTTTATTTAAATGTAGATTATATTCAAATATTAGATTTAATATATTAATTTACCTTTTTACATAATATTAGTACATGATCAAATAAGAACAATGTTACTTGTTCTTTTTTTCCATTAACAATATGATAGGTATCTGCTCGTCCAAGACCTTGTGTACTTGTTTCAAGAAGATTTTTACCCTTAAAAGAGATTAATAGATAAAATAAATAAATAAATAAATAAATATTCATTTTATTACCATCCATCTTTGAACAGTAAACTGCCATTTATGAATCACTTCAATATATTCCATTCGACGTTTTCTCTCATTAATAAATACGGCTACATCTCTCATGGCATTTAATGCTTGTTTAACATTTTCATAGTCACTGTGATCTGATGATGTATATTTTAATAACTCATTCAATTGTAGAGGATATTGACAAATACGTTGAATAGGAGCTAATAAAAAAGCATCTAAACGTAATTCAATCATCTGTTGTTGAAGACGACATGTCTAAAACAAATAAAACTCATAATAAAATATAGTAGAATAATAAAAAATTCTTGTAACAATATTGGATCAATATCAAATCGTATTAATTATTTATTTTAATCTATTCTCTAAGTTGACTGAATGAAATTATAGGAGACTTATTGCTTTCCACTTCGGCATTGTATAGCAAAATATATAAGAGGATAATGAATCAGCTGATATGTCAATGTGAATAATGGAATAAATGTGTTTTGATCACCAAAAAAGTGACTTTTGATCACCAAATTTATTAGCAGTGAAATGATCACCAAAAAATAAGACTTTTGATCACCAAATCAATTAAAGAAGTTTTAATTAAAGAA